ACTGTCGTCAGAACCGAGCTCAGCCTGGTTAACTGATCCGAGCTCGGACCGGTCTCGGCATGGATCGGTTTTTCAAAGGTAGTGCAAACGGGGCTTTAAAATACTGTGGAATAGAAGCCAAGCTTCAGGTCAGGCCTGTTCATAATCCCTCATCTTTGCTGCTGTTCTCTGCAACCTTTCCAGAGTTACCATTGGGCCTTTTGGCAGGATCTCCCCTTGAGAAAAAGACACTGATGCCTTCACATAACACCTATATAAATTATACACAAATGTACTCCATTTACAGCTCACCTCTGAATGGCTGCACTGGATTTGATTTAGGGAGATCAGATTAAAAGGCCTGCTTTCAATCACATTTAAGGATGTGGTTGCAATGTAGCACAATGTGCAAAAGTTAAATCATCATGGAAACCTTTACAAGGGACACAATACAAACATCTATAGTGAGAGGGAACAGGTTTAGTTACATACACATATCAACAACCGGGTACTCCGGTGTGTTGCTTCGTTCTCTTTCTCTGTCTTTTTCCTTGTCGTCTCTGATTGGTCGCCAGGAGCCGTCTGTTAGGTACTCGATCTCCTCTATTTCTTCACTCGTCTCTTTGAGAATCTCAGATAATAACCTAGAACAGCAAAAAAAACACACATTAAAAAAATCACAAGCACCAACAAGGGGCTCACGTTTGCTACTTGTGTTTATCCAGCAACCTTATCCAAACATCCCAACATAAAAAAAGTCAGAATGAATCCAAACAATGTATCTGTTGATGGGAAAATTCATCCTTGAAAAGTGTCAGATCTTAAAGTTTAAGATGGGGACTTTCCACACTAGTTTACTCCCAAGGAATGCAAATAAACTTAGCAGCCAAAATGTAGCACAGTGCTTTCAGTCTTAGAGAAAGTAAAGGAGCCTAGAATCTACAGGACATTACATGCCCAAAACTATCACTGATAGGGAGGGGAGGAAGAAAAAAAAGAAAGCTCAGGCTGTGCTTACTTTCTCCAATGTTAGCGTCACACTGAAACTTTGCAAAATGAACATTTTTTTGAGAATTTATGATCTAATTATAAACAAACTAATGAGATTGTGGCAAAAGCAAATGAGCAAAATTACTGATCAAATAAAGAGTGGAATGAATTGAACACTTTGAGAATTTCCAAATGTGCATTGGCACTGAATAGTTCCTTAAAGAGTAACCCCAAAATGCCACATCCTCCGTAAACACCCTGCTCCGCTCCAGACCGCCTGCGCGAAGGACAGCCACCAGCCTTTACTGTTCCTCCCGTCTTGGTCTGCTCCCACTTTCTCAGAGCTCCAGGAGAGCATGTGTGATATTATTACATTCAAAGGAGCAAAACACGCAGTAATGAACGCTTAATTTAATATGAGAAATAAAAAA